AATATATATCGTGTGCTAATTTTATGATCCATTTCATTTTAACCGTGTAGATTCGTAATCTTAACATTGTTGTAATAATATAAATTAGCACCCTTATTGCTTTCAAATACGAGACCATTTGTCTTATGCACTTTAACGGCATCCGACAAGAATCACATACTGCATATGCATTATGGTGTTCGGGGCTGTTTGATAAAGTTTAAAACGGCAATATAAGGGCAGGTGCTTTTCACATTTATGGCACCCGATCACGACAAAATGCATCTAACAGCTGCGGTCTACTATTATTAATACTTATTACCGCGTATAATTATGCACTTAATGCAATTTTTTTGTCTAAAACAGGCGTGAGAATTTAATGCCCTTCGAATGGAACTTTTATTCCTTAATTTAACATAAATTTAAATAATTTAGGTAAACATTCGTTTTTTTTTAAACTTATAAATTAAGCGAAGGGCCCAGGAAATGTTCGGTATTTGCAAGATTGTAACGTAATTTTTAGGTGTATGTGTCAGTTTTATAACAATGCAAATTACTTACTAGCTCAACCTTGTATTTGGTAGATTTATGGGATGTGATTAAATCTAAAAATTAACTCACACTAATTAGACGGAGTAAACGTGATATTTTCGGTAAGGTTTTGTGTTAAATTTTATTGTTATTGTTTTTAAAAAACCACCCTTCTTTTTCTATTTCAAATAAATATGTACACAACACCGTTTTCACCACCTGCCTTTTATACGAAATACACCATATGTTGTTTCTTCTTCATTAAGCTCGTACAGTATAATTTTCTCAATTGAAAAAACACCTTTTGTCGTTTCGCGTTATTTTTTGAGTAATTAAAGTGGCATTCCCTTTTATTTATTTAACAATTCTCTATTCATAGCGGCCGTTCAATAAATTTGTTATATATCTGTAGCAATTTATATATGGCTTGTTAAAGTGACTTCGTTCACCTGCAGAATCTTTTCCATAATCTATCAACGGCTAATTGAAACCTTGATAAAATATTACTTATGGTGCACATGAATTATTTATGAATTTATACGCCGAGATTACGCGGAACGTGTTTCCAGAGTGTGTACTATATATACAAAAATTGAAATACCAACGTTACGGAATTTTGCGGTTAATAATCTTAGTAGCTCATTAAAGCACTAACCTCTTCTAATTAGAAGGCACATACGTTTTGAAATTATAATTGCCATATTTCTCTACATTTTTATCTCTGCAGTGTACGCGAGAAATACGAGGGAACTTCTGAAGATATGTATATGAAATTCGAACGTTTGTTTATTTTTAAATTCACCTCTACGTTCACTTCTGGCATTGAACTCGGTGCGATTGTCAGGATACCATTAATTATATTAATTATTTATATAATTAGCAAGTATTGGCAACTAGCGAGTCATTAGTGAAAGGTGTGAGACCGAGAGACACCTTTCGATGATATAGGCCAAATTGTTGACTTAATTTTTAATATATGTTTATGAATTATTTTATTTATTTTTATTTTTAATTTCAACTATTAGATTGACTAATAAAATCGTGTATAGAGTGCAAGAATCAATTTTTGAAGATGCCATTTCATATGGCCATACGAACTTCAGTGCCTTCAGTTGCAACTGAATTCGCTATCAGCTTTCTTATTTCAGTCTGCTTATTTTAGATATTTTTACGTAGAACAATTGTTTGGACTATCGTTTCTGAGATTTGACCCAAAGTTGGCATTTTTTTTGCAACATTCTGTATATCTTAACGTCATTTTTTGCATTCTTTTTCCTGATGATATTGATGTATCACAATCCACATTTTTTTTAATTTAGCCATGAACAAAAAAAAGCTGATTTTTCTACGATTTTTAAATAGTAGGCCATGGATTCATGGAGATTTTGTTTTTTTTAATGTATCCATAGTAATCAAGACTAATCAATAAAAATCGCTGACCGTAGAAGTCGTTTCAAATTTTGAAAAAAATGATATAATATATAATCATATAAAAAAGTAGATCCTAAAAAATCAAGCTTTTCGTTTTCACCCTGTATCTCAGAATCAAACGTAGATAGATTGATTCTGTTTGTGGTATTAAAAGTTTTACATACAAGTGGCATAGGATCGCGAAAACCGCAAGTTTCTATCTTTAAAAACAGCTGAGATGTACTGCGCTCTTAACCAAAATAGGATACACGGTACATAAATCCATGTGTAATGTCAAACTATAGTTATTAATCTTTGGTAGACAACTTGTATCCCACTGTACCGAGTGTAACAAAAAAATTCGTTACGCTGTTTCTGAGCAAGAGACAAATTTGTTTTTTTCGATTTTAATAGCCCTTATGGACATTTCATGCCTTAACGAGAATACAAACATGAAATAATTTTTAATTGCTGAGCGAATGACACCAATACCAAGTCTGTAAGTGGTGTAGTTCCGCAACCTTTGCGACTCAGACAGACAGTCCGACATCAGGAGCGCAAAAGTGCACGTTTTTATTTTTTGAGAGTGAAAGTGCACTAAAAATTGGTAATGGAGGTATCAAATACACCGAGGACCCATAAAGTTTCGTCTGGGAGACGAAGTTACCAAAATTTGCGTCTCTTCTAAGGAGACTGGAATTTACGATTTTCAATTTTGCATAGGTTCCTACCTCAAGACGTTGCACCCTAAACGGAGGCGCTGAAATTCTATCTAATCTAAACCCGATGTTTGGGGGTTTTTCAACGTGAAAGTAACTAATCCTCATATTGATAATGGCAACATGGCCGAGCATGCCGCCCTTTCGTTCGTTACCGAGACAAGATAGTGGACCAATTTTGAAGTCGAAGCGAATATCTTGAGCACGAATTGTCGGGAGAGTGTGCTCATCAAAGTCAGGTGGAATAATAGCACGAGACATATCTGCTGATGATGTCAAAACTTTTAGTGCAAATATGTACAGAACTAAGTGTCGGAGGAGGGTACTCTCAAAGGGCGGAAAGATCGTCTAGACGAGACACATCTACTGGCTATGAAAGGTAAAAACTTAATTGTCAATATCTACCTACGAAGGGAACGTGCTATAGTTCGGAGAATTTCTCTAAGGGCTTGATTCCTCTTGCATTATATGGCGTAGATTTTGAATTTAATTATTAATCATCTACCAAGAAAGTAAACACCGATAATATAATCTTGGCGCAGTTGACATAAACGCCTCTACATTGTGTTTTAACTTACTATGTTGGATCATGTCATAGATAGAGTTTCGAATCGCTGCTTATGTGAAACTATCAACATCGCTAACGGGTGTTTTACATTGCCTTGATTTTTTTAGGGCTTTCTAGAGGTTTGTTCGATTTAGACATTTGTGAAATAGAAGTCACTGTTCGGAGGCTAATATTGAATGTATCCGCAACTCTCTGCGAAATGAAGCTTGTTACGTATATGAATTCTTATATTAGTAAAGTAACCACTCACCTCTTGCTGCTGCGACTGGTAAAATTGGACCACCATGATTTCTTTCTCGTTCAAAATAACGAATAAGTTTTGGAATAAGTTGCTTACTTTTTCTTGGTAAACCTGATGGCATTTTTGGGTTACGGAAGTAATATGCTTCTATAATTACTCGTTATGAATTTTTTATCGGCTAATGTAGCAAAACGCGATAAAATAATGAAAACGGTAGCAAACAGTTGTCAACAGCGTAATTTATACGCAGGTCCGAGTTCTTTTTTTTGCAATTTGATTTATTGGGTTGGAATAATAGGCTTGTGAAGAACAATCTTAAGGACATTAGGTCCAACTCAATAAAAAATTCTTTTAAAACGTTATTTAAAAACGAATAAACCAAACACAAGCCTTGCAAAATGTATAAAGCTTCTAAGGCTTTTTAGCTTTTATCGTGAAATTTATTCTGGCCACACGAAACGCGACGTGTAGATATTTACTTACCTGAACGTTCCAAACTGATGATATCGACACTCGACAGTCATTGTCAAAAATATGGATCAAAAGCCAGTGGGTTTTCTTCAAAAAATTAAAAAAGCAAGATGCGTTTGCACTTATAAAACATAATAGTGTAATGATTTTGGAACTGAAAAATTCATTCGATAATGCCAGTTTAGACTTCTTGTCGATAAACTTAACTATTTCCAGTATGAATAAGAAACAAAAGTATTCGCGAGCGATGCGTCGCATAACAAATCGGATGGCACTCGCCTTGTACAACTCAAGAATTTAAGTTGTGTTAAAAGTTATTTTGTATACATGCCACACACCACAGACTTGGCGTCTTGTGGTTATTATGTGACGTATTAGATTTTTAAAATCGATTTTATTGCCTTGCAAATTTGTAATCGTTTAAAAAAATATGCCAATTATTTTCGTTAGTGAAAACTCGACCACCTACATCTGCCGAAACACATTTCAACAAACGAATGCTGTTTGGTTATTGCATGATTGTTGTGGTGTGGGTGTCTTGGCAGTTATCGCGAGAAGGGTCGTACAATAAAAACGTTATTTCAATTTTAACACATGACATGAATCACGATATATCCCAATATTTATGTAGTTTATTTCACCCACTTGCGTTACAATTATCATTCGCCGAATATTATTTTCGGTAATTATTTTAGAAGGCTCTCCATCAATTTTAATGTGCAGGTAGATCAGGTGCTCTTGACTAACGGTCACGCATCCTTCTTAATTTGTTCATATCCATTCACTTATTTATTTTTAGTGCGTATTTAATCTAATTTGGATTGGCAAAATCATTTTGGTTGTTTTATGCCAACGGTATGAGACAATTCAGTCTACTTATGAATGAACCAATAAATTCTAGTGTTATATTTTTAAGACGATGAACCTTATGGAGTGAGTGCTTGGATTAAAGGACTCGTTAACCAATTGTATAACATCGCATAGTAACACGTAACCTGAATACAAATAATTTTTATACAATTCCCATCTCCCTATAACCACCAGTTTGACATGTTGCTATAAGTCTTTTCAATTATTTCAGATATCCCGACGCAGGTGCCACCACTGACGCCGGGGACGAATAAGACCATGACGGAGGCGCTTAAAGCGTCTTTCGCGTCTTGGGAAAAAGAACAAGTTCGCTTGAATATTACCAAAGGTACGTATTGAGCTTTCTGAAAATTTTACACAAAACCCACCATTATAGTTTTAGAAAACAATAGAAATTTAACGTTGTCGGGGAAATCAAATTGTGTAAACACTACGAGTCGGTATTTTTGATGTTGTATACACACAACTAACAATCGAATAGCCAAGCTAACAATCGTGTTTGTCATTTAAACATTGAAAGTCAAATACGAGCTCGAGCTCATTATTATGTGTTCTTTCGACACCTTTGGCGATACCCTGTTATGGAATGTACACAATTTTAAAATATTTACTTAATTTTAAATACATTTCATTAAATATCATAAAAAGTCATGATTTATTGAAACATTTGCTATTTATACATTAATTAAATAGATTAGCGATCGATGTTTCCGGATTTTTCTTGCTTTGGAAATGTCAATTATTTGCTCCAAATTCGATTTTTTTTTAGTAGCTATGCAAAATTATTAGTAAACAGGTTCTTATCACTTTAAGATCAATGCGATGCAAGCATTTTAGAGGAGCCGATGCTGTCTGCCTGTCTGTGAACTCCATATCGGGCAAACGGCAAAAGCTTGGACCGATTTGGTTCAAACGCGCTGAAGTCCAGTCGATCTGGCACGAGGACCTTGATTTTCTTTTGCATTAAAAATTGGCATTGGCCGGTACAGGGACGGACGGAGCGGTTTCTTAAAGCGCGAAATGTTACAATGCACTTTCGAAATGCAAAATGCCAATAGAGAATCGTACGTACTTACAGTATTGGTACTTCATGTAAAGTACGTTTTAATAGTATTTTTTACGACCTCCCTGAAAATGAGGTCATAACGTATAATTTGGAGGCATGATATATTATCTACGTATTACCTACACCCGTGCGTAATGAAAAAATTAGAATAGAATGAATAGATCATGTACGTTTGGAAGAGATAATTATCTACAAATGTCAGAATTGTCAACAAACGTCGTTTTGCGTTTTGCCTTATTTTCATTTCGAAATTCACGGAAGTTGTGTATTACAGGTGGGTAGAATTGCCGCACTCTACCGCATCGTGCGCAATTTTTCCACTCACCTGTCCCGTAATACGCACTATTACAACCTTATGACATAAATTAAATCGTGATATACTATTACATACACACTGTACATACACTGCACTTTATAGCGCCTACCGATATGTGACTTCATTTTGCGAAAACGAAAATACAAAAGGCGCAACGAATTTGAAATAAAGTTAAACAGTAGAAACACGCAAAATTCAAGACTGAGACTAGATCCACAGACCATCACTGAAAAACGTACTGACTTTGCTTCCCATGTTGTTTATTTAATTGCTCATTTATTTCCCACCTAGTTTCCCACTGAGGTATGCATTTAATGCGAAATGTAATAGTTATGAATGTAAACATGATATCTTCAACATACTGCATGATATATGAGAATAAACTTCTTTGTTTGGGTGTAAAATGTTTGACAATTTATTATGATAGCTGAAAAATGTAAGAGGCTTACTTACTTGCAATTGCAAATTTATCAATTCGTTCCATATTATGACTACTACCACAAAAGTGAGGGGAGTGCCCCCCCCCCCCCCCCCCATTCCCTTACCGGTTCGACCCTGCCAATAAAACATGTTCGAGAATGACATGAATCAATAATTGCAAGTCTTCTTTTAATAATTTTTGTAATGTAAATCCTTGTTTATTAACGATCCTCGAGATCGTTTACAATTTTTTATTGCTGCCTGTCTGTCGGTCCGCCCGTCTGTCTGTCCGTGTGCACGATAACTTTGTGTAGAAACGTCCGGATCGCTTTGCAAATTGATACACATGTTCTTCGGGATATGTGAAAGGTCGCTATTGTTTTTCGATTCAAAAGTTCGTTTTACAAGCCCTGCTGATCTGGTGGGACAGAATCAACCCCTTAAGGTGTATTGTAAAAATGATCTCGAGAATCGTTCGGTATTTACTTGTATCGGATTTTTTCTAACAAATTTCAATCATAGTACAAATGGAATTTAAAATGCAGATCTTCAAATCGCAATGCAACATACAGTTATACACGAGGGGTCGGTACCACCATAGTTTCAACGTGTCATTTTTTTAACCAATTAAAAAAATACCTTTAAGCGTGTCACTAAGTTTTGGTTAAACAAATAATTAATAAAAAAATCAGTATGTGAAAATACATTTATTAAATGAAACACTTAAGACGAATTTTTGCATGTATACATTTGATGATTCAACTAACATTGAGTATTTACTATGTCGGAAATATTCGGCTGCAAATTTAGAGTAAGATGGGTACAGTATATTTTGCTCTGCTCCTCCGCGTGTTTTCTAAAATATTTTTGCGTGACACGGGTGTCATAATTTGCCAACCCCTGGTTATACACTAAACAGAGTGCCCACTATGTATGGAATATATTATATATGTCGATAAATAGCGACTCTATTTAACGTTTTTCTATATAAAAGTTGTTTATTATTTTATTTCCCATAATAAAGCAGGATTCAGCGGTTGCTGTTTTTATCTATTTAAGGAAAAAGCGAGAAAAAATGAGTAACGAAAAATCATTGATTTTTTTTAAATAGGAATGTACGTTTTTATTAGGCTCGTGTGATAGATTTTTTGCTCCTTTCGATCACGTAACATGTTACATTTATACCCTTATGCAAGATAATTTTTTTTTAACTTTATTATTTAAATAATTAAATCAACAATAATCTAGATATCCTACATCAAAATAAAACAAATGAACGGTACGTTCCTTATTATTATTATTACTTTAGCTTTACCCTGTATGTCACAGCTTATTATTATCCCTCTCTTGTTTTGGGCCCTCACCAGACATGCGCCCAATTACAGAGTGACTCGCATAATGCTATTTAGAGGTGCCTCTGCAGAAGGTCTTAAGTTGGTCTATACTACTCCGATATTTACCTTACGAATTAGGAAAACTGCAGGAAAAGCTAATTCGGAGTAGCCGGTAGAATGCTCGGAGCTGGTCTAAGGTAATTTCCATCTCCGCCACAGATGAAAAAAATTCACCTCAACCCACGTTCGAACACCCGACCTTCGGATTTATAACCCAATGCTCTACCACTGAGTTATGAATTCCTTCCTTATAAACCTTAAAGCAGTAAAATGGTTTTCATCGCAATAAATGTTCAAAATGTTCGCCATTAACTGCAAGATAGTGGCCTGTCAAACGAGCGTAATAAAAAGGTACATTGCTATTTAAAAAATTTGTTTTTTGCTACTCATTTGTTTTCTAAAATTAAAACAACTGAATGCTGCCTTATTATTGGAAATAAAATGTTAAACAACTTTTATATACCCAGATATGTACTTATATTCCAAACATAGTGGACACCCTGTACATATTATCCACGTGTATAATAAACCGCGTGTAAAGCGGATCTAGAAAAGCTACAGAGGCGTATGACTTTACGGGGTCATTTAATTTGGCCCATTTTCAATACGCTTGATATACGAGTATGTGCCATAACAGGTCAGCTGTGCAAAGTTTGAACCGAATCGGTCCAGGAGTTTGGCAGTTATCGTGTTCATAGAGAGATAAGACACCATCGACTCCCCGAAAAAGCACGCAACGCTTTGCTCTAACGTCCTGTAAAGTACATGGAGCCTGTATACAGTATACCGTCCATAACAAATTTCTTATATTCGAAATCGAAGGCGAAAATAGTGTAATCATTCTACGACATTTTTGAATGACATTTTTTGGGGTGCCAGTTTTACCAGCCAAACAATGCACTCTTGAAATAGCTACTCGAAATTGTAATTGAAAGTGGGAAAACGTAACCTTACGTTATGTTGGTACCTCAGTACCTGTCAATGTTAGTATATGCAAATAGTGAATGTCATGTACTCAGGTCGATAAATCGAAATTTTAATTTCTTCCCTGCTAAACAAGTATAAATTGTGCACAAATCTTGTGCAGATAAAGCGCAGTTTTTTAAACCGAAATAGCTTAGTAAATCGTTGGGTTACAAGGTAGTAGCGGGATATATTTATAGATGTTTCTCTTCTTACTAGCTGATTAATGGGGAGGGGACACATAAACATTTAAAGGCCGATTGGCATACATTCAAAATCTACGCTACATAATGCAAGAAGAATCAAGTCCTCCTAAATATTATTTTTCCCTTTGTAGGTAGGTACTTTCCCCCAACATTTTCGATATTCACAATTCAGTTTTAACATTACCAGGCGATGTTTCTTATTTATACCATCTTTCCGCCCTTTGAGAGTACCCTTCTTCGACACTTCGTCTTGCAAATATTTGCACTGGAAGTTTTAACATCGCCAGTAAATATGTCTCGCTCTGACGTTCCACTTGCTCTATCAATATCCTCTTCTCAAACTTCGTTTTCAAGATATTCGCGTCGACTTTACCAATAGATATATATGTCTTGTCCAGACGATAAATTTTGCTTTTGTGAGTACTCTCCTCCTCCTCACCAAATAATCAAAAGATCAAATCCCCCCCCCCCCCTCCCCGGGTCACACACTGATCTCGAAAAGGAATCGCGTAGGAAAGTTATAGCTTGTTCCTAATCCGAAAATGACTTAATCTCAAGCTTTATTATACAGCGTTATTCATTAAGAAGTAGGCATAGGGAAAAAGCACACGTAAATCCCTATGTCTACTTCGTAATAAATATCACTGTATATACATATTACAGAGGGCCCCAGATGGAGTAAGGGACATGGATCATTTTCTTGTTTTTTTTTTTTAATTTATTGTAGATAGTAATTAAGTGTATTTAGTCAGTCATATTCCTATGTTATCTTTTATGGATTTTCGCTCTCTGTGACAGCGTACGAACTAACCTAATATACAAAAAAGAGCAAAAAAGACAACAGAATTCATTCTTATGACTACAATGGTTGAGGACATAATTCCGTAGTTTTCAATATATTGTTTTTGAGTTGGCAGCTTATAGTCTTGAACAAAGTAGAATCGTCTAAACCTCGTCTTGTTC